GAGATATCTAAATGGCCTTGAATGGCGTGTGTGTTAAAAAAAATAGAAGTTTGGATGTTAAATATGTAAATGTATAAGAACTCCATGGTATGTATGTAAATCCTCTTAAATATCGTTTCTCTTTTAAATTTAAATAAACCCACAAGACGATCTTCTCTACCTTCATTATTTTCTCAGCTTTGCCAAAATCTATTGCCTTTATTCCTAACTCAAATGATACAGCCACTACAGAAGCTATGTGGGAAAGGTAACACCGACCTCCAAAATTCCCGATTACAGAAAGCAAATCAGCCCAAAGAACCGGGCAACTTAAACTCTCCTAAGACGTCAAGCAATTGGATCTCAGAAAGGGCACTCGGGAGTCTTCAAAACAACGAGGACATTCAAATCATCTTAAAATCAGCAGGTATACCGAATAGAAACAACAGGAAACAAATCCAAATCTGACAAAAGAAAGCACCGGTATGTGTCTCAATTAGGGCAGCGAGAGGAACACACCCCAAACCAACAAATGTCCCCTCCCCCGAATCTTTCAACGAAGGGAGTGCTAAAACACCCACCAAACAGATGATTAATCAAGTCCAAAAACAATACCATAACGATGTCTTAATTCTTCCAAAGTAGTATATAAAGCAGCTCTACAACAACTCTACAACAACCTTTCATGTGTAAACACAAAGAGGTATATATGCAGGAATTAAAATTTCAGAAATGTATTAGCTATGTAAATATGCCATACAAGTATAAATAAAAAGACTACATGCTTGCTAGTGAAGACACAAGAATTGAGTGGTATGTACGTAAATTTCCATTTTTTGTTTTATGTGCAATGCAAACATCCAACAATTAGGTGGCATGAATGTATAGGGACAAATTTGAGTGTTAGGGATGGAAACACATATAGAATTGTGAGACGTGAATGCAAGTTTTCCATGCAAACAAAGATTCTTTTTAGCTTCCCCTCCTGTTTTCGAAATAGCGAAGAGGTGAGGAAATAAAGGATCAGCCTCCACATAGAATAACATTGCTCAATACTCCATTGCAAATAGGTCAGTCATAATTGATGCCAATCAACAAGAGGACTCAAGAAAAATTAAGTCTAATCACCAAAGAAAACAAATCACTATAATCAATTCAACAAAGAACTATATGTTCCTGCAGCACTTTTGACAGTTTTAAGTCATAAATAAAACCTTTACAGCATTGCAATGAATAGCAAATTATTCCCTAAACTAATCCAAACTAAAATCTGCTACCCAAAGGCATCTGAGAATAAGAGGAACGAACTTCCTGTAAAACTCAAACAGAGTAGAGCAAGGTAGATTTAAGGTTTACTTCTCAAAGACATCGGTAGATTTAGACATGGAGGGTTTGCAAAAAATTCCAAGACTTGCTGCAGTTTGTAAAAAAAGACACCCAAAGTTGAACATAAACCCAAATCAAGATATGACTCGAGTAGCAAATCAAACCCAAAGTACAAGAGAAGCATTGCATATCTCCAAATGCTTGAAGAAAGGAGAAAAAGGATTACCTCTTGATGCAGATCCAAAGAAAACTCAAGAACGAGCCTAAGAAAAAAATCAGCAGCACTTCCCCTCTCCTTAAAATTTCGGCCAACCTAAAATCGTCCCCAAGGTGGGGATTTTATAGCCAGAGGAGGAGGAGAGCTTACCGTCACCTTACCGGTGGTGAGGCGAAGACAAAAAAGAAAGTCGCAGCAAGGGCGACATAGGAGAAGCTTTAGCAGGGAGCGAAGGCATCGGGAAGGAGGTTCTCGGACAAAAGATGTCGGGCCAGGAGTCAACTCTCCGTCAAGTGAGAAAGAGGGAGAGGGAGTTCGGGCTGAGAGAGGGAGACCGGCTGGGGCTTGCGACCGGGAAGAAGAGGGAGTTCGGTCGGATTCGGCTTGGGTCGTGAATGGGAGGAAGGAGCGGACAGGGCATGAGTTTGGTTAAGGGATTTTAGGCATTTTGCTTTTTTTATTTTTTTTTATTCATCTTTTAAATAGTTTATTTAAAATTCGCTGATTCGGACAAAATTTGGCCCCTCACGAAACAATATCGAAATAGATGTCCTTCCTAGGTTGAATCATTGTTCCAAATGCCAGGTGCGGTCTGTTACGTCATCCGGACGACATCATTGAAGGTCGAGTCAAAAACGCGTTAAATTCAATTTCCGTCAAAATTTTGCCTGAAATCAATCGTTTCAAAATTTATTTAAGCTTTCGACAAATAACGGAGCGGACGATGTGAATTTTGGTATTTTAAAGTGTCGACTATCTGAATCACTAAGTTTGTGTGCGCGAATGTGAAAATTGTGCAAAAGGCAATCCTAAGGCTTAAAGGTCCTATAGAGACTCCTTTTGAGTTACCTCATGTTAGATTCAACCTTCTAAGTACTAGAGGTCAAGAACCACATGCGGAACTTCAAAAGAGTATAGAAGCAGTTTGAATCTCTTAAATGAGGTAAGTCCCATTTCTAAGACTCTAAGATAGTCAAAGAGAGAATTTTAAGGCTAGACCCTAAACCCTAAGAAAAAAACTAGACCTCACTAAAAATGAGCTCAACATTTACCTTTGCTACATCTCCCTTCTTTTGCCGATGCTTTCGGGTAACTGCTAGAAGAAGAGGTAGAATGACAAAATATCCAGAGGTCTTCTTCGTCTAACACCGCAATTCTCTTGTTGCCTTACAAATTAGCACCAGCCGACAAAGGTTCACGAAGCAAAGGGAGAGGGGAGAGGGGAGAGGGGAGAGGGGAAGGGGAAGGGAGCGAGAGGTTTTTTTTAATTTAGTTGAATTTTAATTAATTTATACAATTACATATTTAAGACTAATTAATAAACTATCTTATACTAAAAAATTAAATTTAATTAATTACAACTGATGTAAACTATAAATACTTAATTCATGATTAATTAATGAAAATTAAAATTTTAATTAATGTTTAATTAGTTTAATAAAATTCTAGTTGATTTTAATTAGCATAGTAAATTAATAATTAATGATTATTAATAAAAATTAAATAATAAATAAGAATTAATTAGTTTAACAATTTTTTATAAATGACCAGTTAGCCAAGTAAATAGTCAATTACTAATTAACTTGATTAGAAATAATATAAATTTAGATTAATAATATTAACATTATCAATATATAATATAAAATTTATGCTAGAACTAATAGAATTAAATCCTGCAAGAAATTGTCAAACATTTTATTAGACTTGATCATATTTAGTATTTGCCATGTCAAACAATTTTCAACAAGTAATCTGCTTAGAATTTAATAAATTTGGATTTACAAGGTTTACGATATTCCACTTACATTAAAATTTACAACCAAATAATCCCAACCTTTTGAACCTTAATTCTCATTTCTCCCTCATTTTATATTTGAATCCCTTATTTAGTAAATTTACGCATTACAGAGATTCAACTTAAATCCACAATTCACATTATCCTCATTTTCATCACACATTTTTTTTCCATTCAATGCTTTTCCACTGAGTTATACCACTTTAACTATGTTTGAAAAGGTGTGTTTCACTTTTTAAATGTTAGTAATGATTTAAGTGGTAAGATTATGAAAATTAAACTGTATTATATGACAATAGTTGCAAATTTCTTCATTCAACTAAATCCTATTTAAAGTTATCAAATAGTTTTTCAGGATTTATTAGAATTTACTAATTAACATACACAACAATTTTCAGGATTTGATAAATCCCAATTAAGTCCCGAATTTAGTAAATCATTATTTTGGTTATATCAAATCCTCTAGTTCAGTGGATTTAGTAAATCTGGAAAGCACGAAGAGAAAGAAAGGCTCATGCAAACTCACGTTTCTCAATAGTTTCAAGTTGGAGCGCAGCAAAAGGAGATAGATGACAGTTTTGGTTGTCTTTGTATGTCGCGATCCCATCATTGCCTTCCTAATTACCTCTAATTGCATTTGTATTTCAAGATTTTGGTTGTAATCACTTTGGGCAAAATTGGGAGGCAAGATGGCTTTCGGTAAAAACGAGAGAAGGGGAGAGACATAGGTGTGTTTTGCAAATAAGAAGAGATGCAAAATGGAAAAATGATTTTGATTTTAATTTATGTTTATTTAAGTTAATTTTTATTAATTTAAGAGATTAATTAGGAAAAAATAATTTATATATTATCATATTAATCATACTTAAATAAATTTATATGAAACTATTTAAAAATTAATTAATAAAAATAAATTATATATGAATTTTAATTTATTTAATAAAAGTCTAAGTAATTATTAATTAGTATAATAAATAGAGAACTAATTATTAATTGAAATATGTTAAATTATTACTTAATAAATAATGAAATTAATAATTTTTTTATTAATAATCAATTAGCTTAGTGAAGAACTAATTATTAATTAGCAGAATTAGGAATAAAAATCTAATTAAATTTAATTAGACTAGTGATTAATTTCTAATTAATTATGAAATAATCAAAGTTTAAGTTTCCATATTCTAACAAACCTAACGAACTTTTAAATACAGGCAAAAATAACCAAATAATTTCACATTATTTAACTAGATTTATTAAATTCATTGCCAATCATTTTTTAGGCGGATTAGTAAATCCTAATAGCTTAAATCCCAAAAGCTGTCAAACAACCACTAAAGATTTAACTACCAATGTAAGCACTTTCATGCGCATGAAAGACTTTTGACATCAGTTAATCATTTCCATAGATTTTACCAAGAAAAAATAGATGATTTTATAGAATCACTATATAGATACAATGGGAGGAAAACGAGGTTTTAAAATTCGAATGAAATCCTAAACGTCATAATTTAATTACAGCAAAATTTATAGTTAATGATGTGGTTAAAGTTATTAAAATTTCCAAAAAAAAATACTCCACTTTGTATAAATAAATACAAGATAGCTAATCAGTGGCCTTTGGCTATATTTAGCAAGTGTTGAAAAAATGATTTTTCATATGCTGAGAACGAGCAGAGAACTTACTGCCCAGTTAGGAAGTAGTGCTAGCACAGTTGGTGAAAGACCACGGTACATACCACGCATCCCTTCCCTTTGGACTATTTGTTCAAGGCTTCCCATAATGACACTACCTGATGACAACAAAATTTTAGAAAAATGAAAACAACTAGAAGTATTCTAATTTTTTGCAATTGTTTTACAGCTCAACATGCCAACATATTCCTAAACAGCGGTTAAAGTAACTAATTTAAGGGAATTTCAAGATAAATTTTCAATAAACTACAAACTTTCTAAAAAATACAACCTTAGCAGCAGGCAATACTATATTGTTTTCAGACAATTTCACGCACTGCTTTTCAGTAAAATCCCAAAAACCAATCTATTTAAGTTGATGTCATGATCTAATATTATCCAATACGATATTTAAATAAGAAAATAGCTGAGCTAAGGAATTATGAAGTATGATGTGGTGAAACTGGGAAGGGATCACTCGGTTGAGGTAAAACATATAGTAATGCAATGTAATGGTGCAGGCGGGCAGGCTTGAGTAGTAGGAAACTCCACTCTGTAAACAGAGGGAGTCCTAATGCAAGTGCAGCCCCTAGGAGCAACAAAATTGTAAGTGCAGTAATAAGAACCTAATAAGTTGGATCAATATTTTTAAGGTAAAATTAGCTAAAAATAAACCAAGCACTGAGAAGTGAAACCAATATTTCAATTAAGTAAGCTGCGTTTATATATGTGATGAAACACCTCAATTTAACTAGTCACCACATACCCAAAATTGTCTTGCTAAATAAACACCATTGGGTTAAAGCATAGATATCGTAAAAAATTTGTTTAAAATAAAGGGAACAATCAAAATCTACCCAATTTAAATTAATTATACATGAAACACCCATAAATATGTAATTTATCTCCATAGACGCTCATTGTTGTCAAGTGCAAGGAGAGCAGCAAAGCCTTGGAAAATGTGTAATTAGTTAGAACTCAAAAAACCAAGGGCATTAAACATGATATCTCTATAATCTTAGAGGCTCCAAACTCCAAAACAAAAAATACAAAACTCCATATATCGCAAAATTGGGTTCATTGGAATGCCAGAAGCAAAATGGAGAACGAGAAATTTACAAAACTCCTAGGCTAAAGAAAAGGTTAAAAATCCAAAACAATGAGAAACAGAGGTAATGTAACATTTGAATCTAAATGGAGAACCAGCCAAAACAAGGGGAAAAGAAGAAGACTATTCATCCTAATAAGAAGTGTTTATCCATCAAGAAAATAAAATAGAAATGATTATCCTAACTACAAAGAGTGTGTTGAATTTAGGCTTGTTATCTAGAATTATATATAATTATCAATTATCCTCAATTATTACAGTTGTAACTGCTACTTAGATGCCATTTTTCTCATATATAAAGGCACTTTTGTGTCCATTCATTCATTTAATAGTTGAATAATAGAAGATTTCATGTCCAAGTTAATATATATATGAGAAAGAGAAGAAAAAAGGGCAATTTGATGCAAGGAGAACAATTCATGGAAGGAGCAAGGTAAAAAAGGCTTAGGAGCAATTAATGGAAGGAGGAGAAGAAGAAGAAACCAAGTAATCTGTAAGACAAGAGAAGTTCAAGGAAGAATGCCAAAAAGGAGAAGAGCATCAAAAGGCTTCAAAATAGACTCAATATAACTGCTTTATAAAGTTTATCTTACCAGTTTTTTCCTACTTTCCTAAACAAATCTTTTTAGAGCACAAATTCTGTTTCCACACAACCCATCAGCCTACTTATGCAACAAGAAAACCATACTTTCTTATTCTCAGCAAGTAGCCATCATAGGCTACATGGCTGCCTAAGACTGTTGGCAAGTAGACATTTGGAACTATAGTATAGGTCGACCAAACTTAGGCTTCCACAACAAGGGCTTGGGCTTTTTGGATAAGGCCGATAGAAGGAAATGTGTCGCTAGGTTTATGTGAACTTGGGAACGAAAAGGGTAGATGCTGGAGAGCGTAGGAGAGACTAGGGTTTGTGATTGAAGGATCAAACCTGAAATGATCTAATATATGGTTTGATTTTGAGTAAAGAAGCGTGATGATGAATAACCTTAAAAACATGTGGGATGGTTTCTACTGTTATGGAGGTGTTATGAACGACAATTAGGGTGGAAGTTTAAGCTATAACCAACAGCTCTCAAGGGAATAATACAAAATAAGATGATTTGAAACTCAACAAAGTTTCAAAGCAGAGCCGACCATCAAGCTTAGCTAAAGGATTGCTCACAAGGAAATTTTGATTAAAAATCAAAGTTTTTCGAGAAGGAGCTTAAGGGTTTGTTTGGGGCAGCTGCAGCATTTTAAAAGGTCGTTGTGCAGCAAGTATGTCGGGAAGCTATTGTGGAAAAACTATTACGGTGAGGTTGTTTGTATGTTTGTTTTGTACAGCTATTTATGAAAAAAGATATTTTTGCCCTAGTATTGCTATGTTGTTTATAAGATAACCAGTCCAAGTTTAACAAACATGAAAACCAAAATCACCTATAAAATCCTCAAAAAAAAGATAAGATCAAATATTTCATCTAAAGCTAACAACTCATTTAATAGTAACACAACAATCAAAATCAAAAATAAAAATATTAAAACAATAATTAACATTATCACAATTTCTCCAAAGACACTCTACGTCTAAACACTATCTAAGGTGGAATCATCTAACTGTTTGTTTTGTACAGCTATTTATGAAAAAAGATATTTTTGCCCCGGTATTGCTATATTGTTTAAGGATAACCAGTCCAAGTTTAACAAACATGAAAACGGAAATCACCTACAAAATCCTCAAAAAAAGATAAGTTCAAATATTTCATCTAAAGCTAACAACTCACTTAATAGTAACACAATCAAAATCAAAAATAAAAATATTAAAACAATAATTAACATTATCATAATTTCTCCAAAGACTCTCTACATCTAATCACTATCTAAGGTGGAATCATCTGACGGATCCGCTCACATGAAGTCGATCTTCTACTGATCTATTCATTGGACACCTATAATTTTTTTCTTATAGTTATTCTCTCTTCGTGATGTATTTAGAGAATACTGCAATCCACGGTTATATAAAACTCTAGGGGGACCAAAAATTCTCGAGCTCATATTTTCTGAATGTTTAGAACCACAAACATAAAATCAGCTTCCCTTAGTAGTACAAAGATTCAATTATATGGAAAATTAACACATAAAAATAAGAGAAATACATAATAAAAAATTTATAAATTTGCGAGGTCTCAGAGCAAATATAAACTGACAAATAATATTTCACTATAAGAAGACAGAATATATTAAGGAAAGAGGATCTTTGTTGCCTTTAAACCATGTTATATCAAACTCGTATATATCACATAAAGCACATTAACACAAAGAACCTCCAGAAAAACTCCAACAATTATATAACATAAAAGGAAGGGGAACTTGGTTGCCCTGATGGCGATTTTGTACATGACAAAATCCATATATATAAGTCATCCAAAAGAACCACTAAAGTCATTTATCTCATCATAGAACTCCAAACTAAAAAAAATGCAAGAAAAAAAACTTTAATTACACCCATGATTACTTATGGAGGCCATCCATTTGAGAAAAAATATATGTTGAATGAATGAAAATAACTTGCTACAGATTGAGATTTCACATGAACAACTTTGCATAAAGAGACGTTACAAAAAACATTAAGCATGTTCACAATACTTTATACATAAAAAAAGAAAATTAGCACGCAACATCATTTAACCCATTAACTATTGCATTTCTAAATTGTCTCTCAGCTACATCTCTCCAGCACATTCGCCATCATGTGTACAAGACTCAGTTAAATCACAATCAGTTTGTGATATCGTCTGCCTTAGGCGATATTTATATGCTACAGTAGGAACATTTGACTAATTTTCATCTATACTATTGAAATCAATATCACTACGTGAAGGATGCCGACGAATGTAATTGTAGAGAGCAATTGTATCTACCACAATCTTCACTTATTTGTTAACAGGCTATGTGGGCATAGCTCATAGAATAACTCATTTGTTTTCAAACCACAAATAATCTCTCAATAACATCACTTAAAAATGAGTATCTCTTATTAAACATTTTTTTGGCCCCTACATTATTACCTCTGTCAAAATAACGAATATGATATTTTGTATCAAGAAATAGTCTGAGATACCCTTTTTGCAACGGATATCTAGCATCACCAAAAATATTTCTCTATATGAGATATAACCAATAGAATTATACTTAAAAAATAATTTAATTTATTCATATTAAAGCAAACCAACAAGCAGCTGTGGAAAGTTGTAATTATGAATTTGCGTAGAAAATTTGAATAAATGATCATTATTTGCATTGTCTTCCCAAACATTCATCACTAAAGTAAAACACTTAATAAAATCACATATAACCATAAAATTTTGTATTGGTGAACCACGACCAATGTATGCAATCTTTTTACTTTCTGTGCATCCACATTTGTTTTATCAATTACTTGAATACAATCCTAAGTCATTTATATAACATATTTGAGTTACCGCGTTTAAGTAAATTTTGAAAAAAATGAATACATAAATGTAACTTAATATATAGAATATAGTGTTGATCTTGTAAAATCACAATAGGGGTACTTTGGAATGTAGGGTCGTCAGGTCTGTAATTTTTAAAGATAAGTTGATCAGAGCATTCAAATTAACTGAAAAATATCTAATAATTATTTTTTATGAATATTCAAATCATTTCATAACTCCTATAGACTCATTTATGATGAAATATAAAAAGTTATAGCTAATACTTCTCTTAAAATCACCCTAAATGAGCCATGGAGTCAATGATTTTGATGTGGTTCTCTCAATATCAACAAATATAGCATATGTCATACAAAACATGTTATTAAATCTTATTAGATGACCCACAAGCAACTCCCCAACCCATTTTTTGCCAATATACGTGAATATTATAAAAGGACAGCAAGTGATATATGAGTTGTAATACCATACATTAAGAATAATACAACTATAATTTTGCTTTCATGTCTTTCTCTATCCATGTTAATCATTGTTGTTATTCTAAAATAAGGCAAGCACAATT